TAAACCTAACCCTAAATGTAATGCTAACCCTAACTCTAACCCTAACACTAACCCTAAACCTAACCCCTACCCCTAAACGTAACGCTAAACCTAACCCTAAATGTAATGCTAACCCTAACTCTAACCCTAACACTAACCCTAAACCTAACCGTAAACCTAAACCTAATCCTTACCTTAAGTTAAATCGGCTTTCTGTTGATGCGCTGTTGTAAAGCGCCCTTCTGTCTCCGCGCTGTTGTCGCCGCGTTGATGATGACGCGGTTTTGGCGACGCGGTTTAGTCGGGCGCGGTTTTGTCGTTCGCCCTTTTGTCGGTGAACCGATGTGAAGTGTCCGGGTGTGTGTGTGTCATGCAATCACCACTTTTTGTAGCCTTACATCAGTGAGGAAGCCAGGTTCCCTTAACAAACCTTGTTGCGACCTGAACAGCCGCAGGCAGTGGTGGGATTCAGCCAGTTCGCGTCATTTCAGGAGAACTGGTTGTTTTAACTTTCTGCGCCATTTGGTGAACTGGTTATTGGAAGAAAATCATTGGGGCAGAGAACCGGTGGTTAAATTATTTCAATCCCACCACTGACCGCAGGGGATTCGCTTAACGGTTGTGGCAAGGATGGTTGCAGAAGGGGGCAAAGCTCACAGAACAAATGTCTCGCTTAGTGGCGGTCGTAAACCGAGGGCTACTTGCATAATTCTAGAACGGGAAAGAAAAACATTGGCCAACGGAGAGAAGACGGCCCAAGGATTACAAAAGGAAATGCAAAGAAAGCCACAGGCCAGGAAGGATGGCTACAAGGAGAACGCAGGATTTCAGGATCCTTCTATGTATCCAGAGAACCTGGAACTGGATCCACTGGGAATCAATCCCGTCCCGTTCAATCGGGCTGAGGTATAAACACAAGGGAGACTGAACCGGACTAAAGATTTGTAAATATCTATAGAGACTAATTTGATTCTGAACGTAACAACGGCGGCAAGACTGTTGGTGGCGCAGTACTGGAAGAAGGAAGAATTGCCTACTATTCAAGAATGGACGTTAAAAGTAACAAACTTAGCAGAGATGGCCAAAATATCTCAAGGATCATTCAGATGAGAAATATAAGTTGGAATGGAGAAGATGGATTGATAACATTCAAAATAAATATCGGACTAAGAAACTCCAGATAGCTTTTGAATGAATGAGCAAGGAATGATACAACTTGTTTAAAGTTAGCTTTACAAAAAGGGGAGTTAAAGTACAACGAGGGATGATGCTAAAGTTAGTTAGTTTATTTTAGTATATGGTTGCTAAATGTTTATACCCTGTATTTGCTCTGGGAGGTTATGGGGGTGGGAGGGGATGTGGGGTCAGGGGAGAGGGAGGGAAGGTATATAATTGTAAAACTCTTTAAAACTTTTAATAAAAAAAAAATATTTGTAAATATCTCAAGTAAATTAAAGCCCTCTTCTTTCAGCCACAGCCAGATGTTTATAGCCATAGCAATAGGAGTTAGACTTATATACCGCTTCATAGGGCTTTCAGCCCTCTCTAAGCTGTTTACAGAGTCAGCATATCGCCCCCCACAGTCTGGGTCCTCATTTCACCCACCTCGGAAGGATGGAACCATATTCTAAAATAAACTAAAAGACTTTAGCATCATCCCTCACTTGTACTTTAACTCCCCTTTTTGTAAAGCTAACTTTAAATAAGTTGTATCATTCCTTGCTCATTCACTCATAAGCTATCTGGAGTTTCTTAGTCCCATATTTATTCCAAATATAATCAATCCATCTTCTCCATTCCAGCTTAAATTTCTCGTCTGAATGGTCCTTGAGATATGCTGATATTTTAGCCATCTCTGCTAAGTTTGCTACT